AACGATATTAGCAATTGTTGTGGATTTCATCAAAAAACATTTTGGAGGGCTACATCGGCAATAAGCATGGATTTTATTAATAATATTTTTGGAGGACTTTGTATTAAGTGTTCTAAGAACTTTCAAATTTTGATTTCGTTGCAGAAAGTTGTCAATTTCAAAGTACCTTCTCCTTTTCGCCACTTTGAAGGTATTGGCCGTATTTTCCCTGGTACTTTTACTGGTACTGATTTTTGCTGATCTTCACTCCAAAATCGACAATTCTGCTTATCTACGGAAAATTGAGCGTCGTCGCTGAAGACAATTTTTAGTGGATCTTCGGTCAACTTTCGTGCGTGAGATGTATATACCATGATTCCAAAAGGATAATACATAAAAATTACCATTTGCAAATAATTTGTGAAGGGTATAACTGTCGACCACAATGTCTTTTCTAGGTAAATATTAGGTGTGGCTGTTAGGCTTATCCAAAATATCTCTTGGGGTTTCGGTCTCCAGATAATTACAATAAAACAAGTCCTGGTTCCACTCGGATATTCAATTCGCATGATTTATCAATTCGTTTTTTTAATTTTGATATATTAATTTCTCCAGACCAAATTGCATACAACAGATTTGGCCCAAATACATTTGGGGTCTTAAATGTATTTGAGCCAAATTTTTTATCCTCGTCAACCATGCGGGAACAAAAAATAATAAACCAAGAAGTTTCACCTTTGCACACATACACTATTTTTAAACCGCTTAGTATTTTCAACATAATGTACAGTTGACTTAAACGCTGACACAATGATCTACTTTTAGTCAACAATATTGGAAAAGAAATGTTACACATATTTTTGCAATGCAATAAAAGTTATGCGCATTTAAAAAAATACCTGGTCAACCATTTTTTAACATAACATTTGCTAAATCGCTCTTGCTACAGTTCTAGTTAAAATCTTAACGAATATCTGTCTATATCTCCTCTAATGTACAAAGTTATAATTATAATCCAGTTTTTAGTTAATCTGTCTCAACGCAGATAGGCACATCTACACTAATTCTTATTAAAACAGTGTCAACGTGGGTCATAAACTTTTTTAATCCTAGCGATTAAAAAAGAGACTAGTCTGAGAGTTCGGCAAAAAAGTAACGTGGGGAATTCCATTAATAAAAATTATTTCACACGCACACAGGTATTTATCTAGGACACATAGCGAAACTAAACCCTTTCAGAGGGATGGTTGATTTTACGCCACACTACCTGCCTACTTTCTCTACGCTGTGATCGATATTATGAATATCGTCCTCCACACACATTGATTTTGCCATAAAATACTGTTGATGATGTTAGAATGTCAAGGTTTTTGTCATTTGTGTAAATTTCACACGGTGTGTGACATCTCCCTTTGCACACTGGTGGCATTTGATAAATGTGTTCTTTTATTGTTGTTGTTTTATCAAAACCACTTCACGCTCATGTCAATAATGAGAGATGTGTTAGTTATAATATATCCTTTATTTCCGATATCTGTGATGTATAGCAGATAACAGGATGTTTACCTTTTCGACCCAAAAGTGGTAGAAATTAACAGTTATGGAATTCCAATATGTGAAACTGTGAAAAATTCCAATAGATAGGATTTGCAAAATGCATTGATTTAATATATGGTGGTATGGGAAAACATCCCCCTTTTCATTGACAGTATTCAAAATTTAAATGTGATGGAAAAGCGTATAACTGCATTAAGATTTAGTTAAATTTTTAAAGTGTTTGTTTAACGTTCCGCAGTTGGGAAGACTTCGAAATCGAATAACTGTACTTTGTCAAATTTTACTTCCGGAAGAAACTTTTAAATAACCACCAATGATTAAGGTGGTACTTAGTTACTCTTAGGCTCCAAATGATAATATTAAATATAGGGTCTTTAGAAAAAACTGTATTGATTCCGGCTATAAATGATTTCATATAATTGGAGGTATGGAAACAAATCCCTTCCGATCGAAAACCTTAATAAAACAGAAAATTTCGTAACAAAGTTTTTTGGAGGTGGTGAACTATGCAAGCAATTGGCAAAATTGTGAAGACATTTTAAATATTGTATGGCCTGTGAATTATCGTTTCTCTCGTTCCTACGGCTACATCCCGATAAAATCCGGCTCACGCGAACACTGAAACTAGCTGAAATTTTGCAAAAATTCAGCCTGGGAATTAATGGCAAATTATAGAATATATCGGATCAACTTTGCTAATGTTCTCATATAACGGATTTTCGATATCTTGAGGATTTCTGATAAGGTTTTAAGGTAATTTCTGTTTCTCATGGAACACTAAATATTCCTAATAACAAATAATAATATATGCCCAGTTTTCGGTGTAGCCCCCATTCAACGGTACCTCAGATGTTAGTACATTGATAATTTTTGGACACATTTTGGCTGTAGTTTTGTATGTTATGTTATAATTGGGTTCCAAATCTTCCAGCTAAAAATTATCTATATTGGTCAATTAGTTTTTGTAGCTCTCATATTACAATACCCCTCAAATTCCAATACCAATAAAAAAATCTGCATTTTATAGTTAGATGTTTGACCACTAAATCTATGATTTCGACACTGTGTGTCGTATATACGTAGAATGGGTGCTGGAACGAAATATTCTTCAGTGATGAAGCACATTTCTCAAACAAAATTGTTGTATTTGGGGTTCTGAGAATCATCAAGTAATTGAAGAGAAAAAGTCTTTATTTAGTGCGTTCTTTGGTCGGCAGGTATGATTGGACCTTACCCTTGTTTATGCAGATAAACTTTTAGCTCTTGAGTACTTAAAAGCCAACATTGGGCAAGTTACCACAATATGTGTAAAAAGTGGTCGAAAATTACCTCAAAAGAATAAACGCTTGTAAAAGTTGACGTGGAGGTCGGTCATTCATGTATTGTTTCACACATTTTATAATAAAAAAAGTGAGCGGACAGTATAGTCGGACATGGCCGACCATATGATACCCTACACAACTACCACTGAGTTCTAAATTACTCCAGATATATACTTCGAGTCTGAGTAAAATTTCACAATATTTGCACTCTCTTGACCGATTATAAGTCAATGTTGACCTAATGCTAGGTTTATAATTGTGGTGTCTACAGCGAGCAGACACCACAAATATCACTTGATCACCATCAAAAATTATAGGCGTCTTCCTCGAACATAACCGGAAGCTCATGCAAAATTTCCTTGTCATCAGTGCTATGGTAATACTAAACAATATCAGAATACTTAGACAGCTGTAAATGTTTAAGTTTAACTCCCATATCCGAGTAGATACATCACTATGATTAGTATCAATTTAAAGGCCAACCACTCCTTTTGGATATACTGTCAACTTCACGGGTCTATATCCTTCAGAAGTGGATATATCCACCATAGAATATAAATTTTGTAATTTTTACAGACAAATGTTTGGGCAAATTTGACCCGCTAAATATGGACCTATCTACATCTAAACTGTCATGCTTATTATATGGCCGGATCCCTCTCTCTGTGTACAATCTCGTGATGGACGGATCAAAATTGTCGTCACTAGAACGACCAGAAAGGCAAAAAAACATAAAGTTGTTGGTCCATTTGATCCCATAAATATTAACCGATCATTACCGAATACAGGGGTCATTATTAGACCAAACCGAACCTACGGGCAAAATTTCGTGAATATTGGACCATAACTGTGGCCTATATCGTGTTTACAAATGATTATGGCAGACGGACGGACACACATGTTTAGATTACCTCACCTAGAAGTACTTGGAAGTACTTGAAAAAATATTCTTTAAAAACTCCACGCTTAGAAGCTTTGGAAATGTTTGAAAAAAAAAAAATATTCTTAAAAAATATCACGCTTATAGCTTTGGAAGTGTTGAAATCAATTTATTTAAAAAAATTACGTCTATAGCTTTGGTTGTTTTGAAAACTATTTACAAAATGCTGTCTTATATCTGTAGAAATGATTGCAAAAATATTTTTGAAAAATTACGCTTATAGCTCATAAAATGTTATCAAAAATATTCTCTAACTGTGGAGGTGGTTGAAAAAAAACCTTTAAAAATTACACGATTAGAAGCTCTGGACACGCTTATAACCTTCAAATATCCTTCAAAAATCAACGCTTCTTTTCAAAAATGCACGCTTACAGCTCTGTAGATAGCTAAAAATATTCATTATAAAAATCCACACTTTTGAAAAAATATCCTTTAAAAAATTCAAAAGAAAAATACTCGAAATATTCAGTTGCATTATAAGGTAAAGAAAATCTTTTTTTAATTAAAAAAAAAATAATTAGGGAATACCTCTTTTCCTCGGATTTAAGAAATATTTATAAAAATTTTATTCATTAGTAGAAGTTTGACCAAAAAGTTATAAAAATTTTGTTAATAATTTCAATTATCTGCAATACCAACATGCATTTTCAGCATCTTTAAAATATATAAAAACGTGACAATTTTTTATCCTTCAGTGAATTAAAAAATATTCTGAATTTTATTTCATTTGGTACTCTCAATTTTTTCACCAACTTAATTAATTGTTTTTTCTCCAATACCCACAAATGATCCCAAATCCCAGTTTAAAAAATAACACAAGTAAATTTTTAATTTTTCATTTCATTTTTAATTAAATTATTTTTCTTTTCGTTTTTTATAATCTTAAAAACTAATTAACATTTTATTCTTAATTTAAGAAAAAATAGTTTAGTGTCTTCCGTTAATACTAAAATTTACAACTAATTTGTTTTTTAAATCAATGTCTTCCTTAAATTACAAATTAAATATTTAAAAAAAATTACACTAAAAATATTTACATTTTGTACAAAAAAATAATTAGGCACTTGAGAATTAGGTTTTTTTCAACTCGCACACTCACTTTACAAAAAAATATTTGACTAGATTTACAAAAAAAGGCAACATGTGATTGCCTTGTGTTAAAACGTTTTGAACAAAAAATCCCTGATATTTATTCGTTTTTTACAAAATCCTGCAGTCTTGAATGTGTTTTCTGTTTTTTCGAAGTTTTTTTTAATTATTTTTACTGTTCCTGCCACAATGAAATGTAATCTAAAATTTCTTCATCATCCGGTGTGCAATCTTCTTCGTCCAAAGTGAAATTGTCATAGGGTTCGAATTTCAGCTGGATATTACCATCAAAAGCCAAACTGGTATCGGCTGAGATTTCTTGTGGCTGGTGGTGGAGCAGAGGATGATGGTGTTGTTGTTGGATTGGCAAATCTGCCAAGGATTGTTGTGGTTCAAAGCTAGCCGCCACCGCTTCATATGATAAATTTGAAGAGTTGAACGACGAGGTGGGTGAATGACAGCCATTGTTATCATAACCGGCGGTATTGTGTTGAGGCGAATAGGAATTCATTGATACAGGGGAGAGTAAAGTTGTACTGCTGCTGTAGGGATTCAAATGGCCTGCCAAATTCATATCCATAATGGATGGTAAGGGGCTGGTGGATTGAGGAGTATAATACACAGGAGTTTGGCTGGTGGTGGTATTATAGGCGCTGGATGAAGCCGATGAGGAACTTGACGAACTGAAGGAACTGTTACTGGCTGTGTCACAATTCGAAGTGTTTGATGGCAGGTCAAATTGTTGATTCGAGCAGCTTACACCACCATTCAAGTCATCCAGCAAATCTTCCAGGCGACGAATATATTCAACTGCAATGCGCAGGGTATCAACTTTACTTATCTTTTTCTGAGGACCACGGCCACCACCTTTGGTCAAATCGGCAATGATGGTCTGGGGAATGTGCTGGCGTAGACGGGCGAAACTATTGTTCACTTGTTTGACACGATTACGTTCACGGGCGTTACGTCTCAAGACCGAATGTTGTGATTGATCGGCATTATAGGGTTGAGAACGCGACACTTTGCGATTTTTGCCATCCTCCGCAATGGGATGGGGTTGTATGTGATGATATTTAGGCATTTTACCGGGCGTTACAATTGTGGTTGGAAAAATATGCTGTTGTTGTTGCTGTACGTTTGTTTGATTACAACTAACACTTGACATTGTTGTTTGTGTTTTTTGATTAAAATGTTTGAGTTTCGTTTTTAATTCTATATTGAATTTATTTTTTCTTAATGGTTGTTGTTTTTGGATTGAGGTTTTCTTGTTTTGCAATGAGAACTTGATCCTACGACACCTGGTTTAAGAATGAGTCCCTTTGTCCTAAACCTTTGCATTAAGTACTTGTGTGAGCACACACTCTGGTTGCTATAGTTTCCACACAGGCACACACAACCTGTGAGCGTAGCAGAGAACCCTCGACAACGAGAGAGAGAAAGAGCACACAATGCAATGCTCTCCCAACTACCTGTGATCTTACACGTTTGGAACAGGTAACCTCAGAGAGTATTAAAATCCATCCATTGGGGAATTCCCACCATATATTCGACAGGTAACTTAGGTTACTCTCAGCGCTCTCTATTCCAACTACCATTTTTATTATGATCTCTCCTCTGTTCGGCTCATAAACAAAATCTTATCAGTTTTATGATTTCCACCACTTCTGTCATACAGGTATTGAGTAGTAGTGGTGTGGCACAAATCCTTTCTTCAACAAATGAAGCCCCCCCACAAATGGGAACAGTTTTGTTATGAGGTGAATTGTGCAGATTTTGTTGAGGATTTCTTACGCTTCATTACCCCTACTTTTGCAGACAATGTACGATTTGGTATGTTGAGTTATGAAATAAATCTCTTAGATATTATGATTTCAACATCGATTGAGTTTGTGTCTTCTTTGAGATATGTGAGATTATTTCGAGTATTTAACAGCTCTGAGTATTTTTGAAATAAAGTTGGATTTGTGCAAGAGCACAGTTGCAGTTTACAACGGCTTCCTTCAAGAACGTGTACATTGGATGTACGGATGTTTGAGATTTTGAAATCTGCAATGCGTCAAAGAAAATACGTAATTTTGGTTTTTAGTGCAAATCTTCTGTGTCGAAGACTGTTTAGCAGGAAAGATGATTGAAAATAACATGATGAGCAATTGGATTGAAAATATTGTCGATTGTAAAGTTTAAAAATCTATATTATCATATTTTTATTATATTTTTTGAACGCCTAATTTAGTATTTTATAGCATTTGTTAGGTTTATAAAAGCCACAACCGTGTAATTTTTATTGAATATTTTTAGAAGGAGTATGAGAGTTTCTGGCTTCGGTTTATAAATAATATTTTTAAAGGCTATTAGAACAATTAATGTGGACTACAACTATAAATTTAGGTTTTCAAGGGTGTATTTATAATAAAAAATTTTCAACGACTTTTAGACCCATAATCATGGGTTTGTTAATGAGTAGTTTTTTAAGGACTATCCGACTCATAAGGATGAATTGTTTAATAAAAATTGTTGAAGGACTAACAGAGCCATAGTCATGGTTTCTTTAAGGACTATCAGTCATATAACCGTAGATTTTGTAAAGAATATCATTATTATTATTATTTTTGAATCAGGCCCATTATTCAAGGGTTATCAAAACAACCATCTGTCAAAGGTGCAGATTTTTAATGAATATTTTTCAATGGTAAATGGTGCACCAAAGTCCCTGAAATTCTTTCGATTTGTACAAGTTTTGGCATAGAGTACTGAATTAGATCCAGATTGATGTGTGCCAAGTTTCGAGAAAATCGGTTCAGATTTGGATATAGCTCCCATATATAGTTTCGTCCGATTTAAGGTAAATGGTGCAACAAAGTCCCTATATGTCTTTCGATTTGTACGAAATTTGGAATAACGTACTGAATTGGGCCTAGAATGATGTCTGCCAAGTTTCATGAAAATCGGCCCAGATTTAGATATAGCTTCCAAATATAGTTTCGTCCGATTTCATGTAAATGGTGCACCAAAGTCCCTATATATCTTCCCATTTGCACGAAATTTGGCATGACGTATTGAATTGAGCCAAGTTTCGTGAAAATCGGTTCAGATCTAGATATATATTTTTTCGTCCGATTTAATTTAAATAATGTGCCAAAGTTCTTATGTTGCATAACGTACTGAATTTAGTCCAGAATTTTGTGTGCCAAGTTTCCTAAAAATCGGTTGAGATTTATAGCTGATATGAAGTAATTGACACACCAAGAAACCAATATATGGCTGATAGGAACTAAACGTACCGAAATTAACCTGTGACAAGTTTCGTTGAAATCGTTTCATATTTGGGTATAGCTTCGTCCGATTTTAAGTAAATTGTAAATCAAACTCCTCATGTTTGTCAGATTGACATCAATTTGCATAACGTACAAAATTGAGCCTAGAATAACGTAGTTACGTTTTCTAGAAATCGATTTGTTTGAAGTCGATTTTCATACTTTTGTCCCAAACGAATGACGTGTTTATGGATAGATCTAGACCGATTCACATTTAGATAAATATCACATATTTTATTTAATCCAATTTCATGTTAATAGTCCAGTTTAATATACCCATAGTGGTGAAGGGTATCATATAGTCGGCCCCGTCCGACTTTTCTACTTTCCTTACTGGTTTCATTTCAAGCCTTTGGGGGACTATCAGATTTTTGAGGACTATGCCATTCGGCAGCATGGAGTTATTAAAGAATATTTTTTAAGGACTATCTACATATTTAGATGTTAAAAATCAAATATTTTGTAAATAACCTGCAATAGCTGCAAATAACGATTTACAAATTTGGTATACTCTTAGCCTTATGGCTATTGTGGGTATATATTAGGTTGAGGAAAAATAAATCCATTATTTTTTCGTCGAAAATGTCGATAAAATCGGAGAAATGCCCGAAGTTGGCCGGCATGTTAGCAGTCGTAACATCGTCCAGGAGCTAAAAATAGACCATAAAACTATTTTAAACCATTTACACAAAGCTGGACACAAAAAGAAGCTCGATGTTTGGGTGCCACACCAATTAACGGAAAAAATAGGATAGATTGAAATCCCATCTGCGAATGATATAGACACATTTCTTAAACGGTTGGAGACTGGAGATGAGAAATGGATCACATACGATAACCCTGAGCGAAAACGATCGTCGTCAAAGAGCGGTGAAGCACCTCAAACGCTAGCCAAACCATTTGGCATTTGGTGGAACTGGAAGGTTATTATTTATTATCAGTTGTTTCCATCTGGCCAAACGCTAAATTCTGATCTCTACTCTCAACAACTGTACCGTTTGAAGATAGCAATTGACCAGAAACTGCCAGAATTGGCCAACAGGAGAGGTGTTGTGTTCCACCAGGATAACGCTAGGCACACACATCTACAGTGACTCGCCAGAAACTTCGGGAGCTTGGTTAGGAAGTTTTAATGTATCCGCCATACAGTCCGGTCTTGGCACCAAGCGATTATCATTTTTTTCTTGCGCTGTAAAATTTCTTTAATGATAAAAAATCGGTATCTCGGGAGGATTGTGAAAATCGACTACTAGAGTATTTTTTTTTTGCAAATAAAATTGTCAACAAATCAACAAAACAAAAACGGTGCATATTTGGCCCAAAACAGACATTCCGAAACATGTTAAATAAAGTCCTATAGTTCATATACATTTCTTTCCAACCAAATATTTTGGACACAATCCTAGCTATAAGCTTTGAATTTGAAATATTATATTTTGGAGGCAATCAGAGCTATAACCGCGGTTATTTTGAAAAATTTTTTTTAGAGGACTAATAGAGCAAAAGTTGTGCAATATTTAAGAAATATATTTTGGGGGGAAAACCGTGGATATTTTAAAGAATATATCTTGGGGATAGTCAGAGGTACAACCGGGTATAATAATGTAATTTAGGGCCTTTTAATTGGCTCGTTCTCAGATTTTAATCCTTAACATCTTTTAACGCTTGATCTCTTAAATTAATCAAAAATTCGTGGCATCAATTTAACAGAGGTGTTCAAAGTATTTTACATATTTATTTAATTGAGGCCCCCCCCATTCACGATTTTAATTTTTTAAGATTTTCAATGGGCTGGTAAATCAATACCAATGCTTGTTAAGGTTTGTAACTTTGCATATATATATATTTGAAGATTTTAAAAGAGAAGAAAAATAATTTACAAAAAAAAAAATGTGTAATTGTTTTGTTGTTGATTTTTGTAATTAAAAGGTGTCCTTATTTTTAATAACGGGCATGATAACTCCTCACTGGAACATCGGAATCCGGAAATTCCAACGGTGTTAGAAATAGTACAAGTCTGGCTCTCGTATGAAATAGGATTATTGACTTCGCTCTAAAATTAACAATATGGCGGACCTTTGAAACAAAGTTAAAAATACGGAAGATATTCACCGATTGGCTTTATCCTAGTTCATACGATAGCTATACACTCACAGAGAATCGTGTAAAAATTTGGAATCGATTGGGTTATTAGTTTTTGAGTTATCGTGCCCGCCATTCGCAAAAGAGAAAAAAGCGTTTAAAGTTTGAGAAGCCCTTTAGCCGTCACTTGATGCTGACACAATAAATCGGCTATATATTCAAGAGTTCTTGACATTTTCACTTGAAATTTTGTAGGGACATTCTTGAATTAGTGTAGATTCGAATTAATTCAAAAAAATGTTTGACCCCGAGAATGTTGGGTCCCCTTAAACGATCAAGACCAATGACGTTCAGCATCAAAACAAACACGCGCAGCACAGTTATCACAAAGCCCCAAATGACAATGACAATGCTGGGATATGTCTGAAAATCTTCATTTTAATTGAAAAAATCTAAAATATTCAAATTTTTTGAAGCGGATTTTTTTTTTTTTTTTTTTTTTTTTGATTAAACAAATGTTTTTCATTTCCCAGATTTACACTTTCTAATATTTCATCAGGTGGCCCATTTCTTCTGGTACCTTTCCAACAAAGGGTGATAATGTTCAATATTTATAAATTCAATATTAGACTAAATGAATGTCAGATGTGAATCAATCTTTACAAAGATTAGTTTAAGTCCGAAGGTGATGTCATCTCCTTCTGGCACCTCCTCCACAAAAGGGTCAATAAAAACCTCTTTAATAATGTGTATCATTACACTACTACATGTGGA